AAAACCACAGAAAACTCTTACACCTAAAGATTGCATGTCTCTTCTCTCTGCTTCCCACCTCAGCCTCTGCTGCAGTTAAGTAGCAGCTTCATTCAAGAAAAACTATTTTTAATCAGTATTTTTCCACAATAGTTGTAAATCAAATATCTTGACATTAGCTGCTGATACTGTGCTTGTTCTCAATTATGCTCAAACAAGTTTCACAGGCAACTCTCCTCTGAATTATTTTTTGTTTTACTCAGAAAATATGTACAAGGGTATAAACCAATAAATCAATTAAACCAGAGAATGCATGTTGGTGAAAAATCATTAATGAATGAATGACAGACTTTATCTCAAGAAGGAAGCATTAAACATTTGACCAAATACACTGTTCGGAAATCATATTTTATTTTTATTAAAATATAAATGTTATGTTAACTATCTTAGCCAAAGTAAATCCAGTTTGTGATAGATGAAACTTGTGGCTTAACAGAACTCTCATATTAATAACAATTCAACCAGCTCTTTTTATTTATTTATTCAATTGCTATAGCAACCCATTTGTGGGCAGTTTATAATTCTAAATTATAAAACAATTAAAAAAACGCTTAAATAAAAACATCCACAAAATAAATAAGTACAAACCACAGTTATAATTATTAATCCTCTAAGAGTAAAGGCAAGTTATCCTTAATGCATTCTGAGTCCCAGGCCCTGATACATAGTCAAGTTTTTAAAGCCTTGTGAAAGGCCAGCAGGGCTGGAGCCATTCTAATCTCTGGGGAGAGATTATTCCATAAGGCAGGGGCTACTGCAGAGAAAGCCCATCTTTTATATCCCACCAGTTAACACTCTTTGGCTGATGGGATCTGCAGCAAGTCAATCTGTTGGAATGAGTTGGATGGGTAGAAACTCTTGGGAAAAAAATGCTTCCTCAGGCAACCTGGCCCCAAGCTATGTAGGGCTTTAAAGGTGACAACCAGCACCTTGAGTTGCATCTGGAAACACAGTGGCTGCCAGTGTAGTTCACAGTGTAGTGGTGTGCCATGTAGCTGTTGCCATTTATTACCCATGCAGCAGCACTTTGTGCCAGTTGAAGTTTTCAAATGCTCTTCCAGGACAGCCCCATGTAGAGCATTTGCAGTAATCCAAGTGAGAGGTTACAAGGGCATGAGTGATGGTGAGCAAGGCTTCCCAATCCAGGAATGGGTACAACTGGCGCATTACTGGAAGGTACTCAAAGGCTCTCCTACAACACAATGCCACTCACCCCAATTCATGGAGCTGGCCTATGCCAGCGAGGGTCACGAAAAACCAGTACCTCCATTCTGCTCCTACCAGACATCATCCATAGCGTGATCAATGTTGTTTTAGTCCCAGACCCTGGTCTGAACACCATCTGAAAGGGGTCTAGATAATCAACTTCATCCAGGATTCTTTGCAGCAGCCATACTTTCTCAGCAAGCTTTCCTAAGAAGGGAAGATTAGAAACTGGGCATAAACTGTCCAGCTTGGTTGAGTTGAGCAATTGTCCTTTGAAGAAGGGGTGCATCACCACCTCTTTAAGAACTGATGGGACCACATTATCGTTCAAGTAGGAATTAACTACCATCATGATCAGAAGTGGGTTTCAGCAGGTTCTGACCAGTTCTGGAGAACCGGTAGCGGAAATTTTGAGTAGTTTGGAGAACTGGTAAATACCACCTTTGACTGGCCCCACCCCCATCTATTCTCTGCCTCCGAAGCCCCAGCTAATCAGGAGGAAATGGGGATTTTGCAGTAACCTTCCCCTGGAATGGGGAGGGAATGGAGATTTTACAGTATCCTTCCCTTGCCACGCCCACCAAGCCATGCCCACAGAACCGGTAGTAAAAATTTTGAATCCCACTACTGATCAAGATCCAATCCTGTGTCCCTTCCCACACAACTTTAATAAGCCAGGAAGGGCATGGATTTAATACACAAGTGGCCAAACTAGCAGCTGAGAAAGCCTTGTCCACTTCTTCAGATTCCATGGCTCAAACTCTTCCCATGTCACCTGGTAGAAAATAGCCCCCCCCCACCACAGATTCTGCTTTAAAGCTGAAGTCCAATGTAGAGCAAATGTGGGTCACTTTGTCTGCCAGATGTGCAGCATATTCCTCACAGCAACCATTCAGATGAACTTCAAGGGGGGACCACCAAGTCACCCGAAACAAGGCAACTGGGCAACTATCAGCAGATGCAACAAGGGCAAAGAAATAGAGATACTTATTACAGTGTTCCATTACCCACTCTTGTTGAACAGTTCATAGCAGTGGTGAAATCCATTTTTTTTTACTACCGGTTGTGTGGGTGTGGCATGGCATGGCTTGGTAAGGATACTGCAAAATCCCCATTCCCTCCCCACTCTTGGGCCAACCAGAGGTGGTATTTGCCTCTGAACTACTCAAAATTTCCGCTACCGGTTCTCTGAACTGCTCAAAGTTTCCACTTCTGGTTCTCTAGAACCTGTCAGAACCTGCTGGATTTCACCCCTGGTACATATGGAGAAGGATAATAGCGGAGTATTTTGGCTTAGAACTTGGGCGGAGTGGCTCCAATAGTTAGAGATTGATGTGTGTTTTCTGGCAGGAATTTGAGAGTGGGAATCTATTTCTTAAAGTACATATATATTTATCACATTTACATCCTATGTTTAAGAATTCAAGCTTTCTGCCTGATTCTTATTTTATACTCTAAAATGGGTTGGGCAATAAGATAGGAACTTATGTTCTTGGCCTCCCCACAAATTTTACAGCCAAATAAGGATTTGTATCTGGATGTGTCTCACCATTCTCCACACTAGTTCTATGCTACACTTGATGGAAGCAGTCCTTGATCTTTTCTGTTGACTGATATGATTGTATAAACGTGTGTTGCAGTAAATGTATGCAATTTAATAATCCAATTTCATTATTCAAAAGCTACAATTGATCTGTCTAGATTAATGTCAAAATTATGGTTCAGATATCATGCCAAGCTAAAATATCATTTGTTTGTCTTTGAATTACAAGCTGCATAAATGAGCTACTGTGGTTTGTAAACTCTGACTTGCCATATTTCCATCCTTTTAGATATTACCACAGGTTAACTTTTGTAGAAATAGCAAAATTGCAAAGTAAATAAGAAGCATCTTGTTAACACTACCAAATATTCAAACATCTGACAGTATTTGCATAGTGGTACTCAAAATAGCTTTGCTGAAACGAAATAACTGAAAGTAAGGCTTACTCAACCTTAGTGAAGCTGTAACAACTAAGGTACAGTAGTAGAATGCTTAATGCACCTAGAAGATTTGGAAACAGGTTTCTTGATTAACATTCACACAGCCAGGAGGAATGGATAGAAAGAATCAACATGCAAAGAGGCCGGTACCTCCACTGCCAAATATAGCATCACAGACAACAGGTAGGACCAACCTGGACCTGATAGGACTGGAAGGGAAAGCTACGGGTAGTGCATTCCTACCACAAGTGGGATGCCAGATCAGCCTTCTCCAGATGCAGTGACCCATCCCTAGAACTCTCATAACCATGCTGCTTGGGAGAGCCACAGAGTTAAATAGCTGCATCTTGCATATGTGGTGAGACTGGTGAAATCTGATTATGACTATTTACACTAGAATGCATATCAAAATAAAAGGTCCTGTCGTGTGCCAGAATAAGAATAACCTCTTGTGGCATTTCAAGAATGGAAATATGTTCTAAATCGTGATGATCTCTTATCATGCTTTGACAGATAAATATCTCTTAGTCCCTTTTTAAGAATGGGATAAACCTATCAAGGACTATGAGACAGGATATACAATTTTGCAGAAAACAAACCACTTAAGTTTGTTATTTATAGTCATCTTGAATGATTTTGCAATATGATTGCAAAATGTTGTCACGTGCTATATGAATTGATTGAATTTTAGCCTGTTAGTTTGTAGCTTGGTAAGCAACTTATTTATTAATTAGATTTTTATTCTGCCTATTACTTTATAAGTAACTCAAGGCAACATGCTTAATGCTGCTTCCTCCTCTTATTTTGCCCACAACAACTCTCTGAGGTGGGTTGGATGGAGAGTGGTTGACTGAAAGTCACCTAGTTGCCTTTCATGCTGAAGGCAGAGCTAGAACTCCCAATCTCCAATTTCTAGGCAGCATCTTTACCACTACACCAAACTGACACTTGTATGTGAACCCAACCTATATATTTGTTTATCATTTTCATTTGGAGAGATAAATTGACTTTCTATCCTTCAAGCTTCATAAAAAAGTTGCTCAGTGCTTTTTCTAACAGAGGAAATGTCCATCCTGGTTTCAGGAAGCAAAATGCCTATCTAATCCTTCTCTTCTCTTTTTGTTCTGTTGTGCTTTTATTGGAAATGACTTTTCTTTCCTAAAGGAACAGTTGTGTTAGTGTTACATGGGCATGGGTGTGGCATGTCACTAGATCTAATACTGAAAATGGATAGTTATACGTGTCTTAAAAGCATGTTTCAATTTCCTTCAGAGAACTGTGTCACACCTGATGGGTATTGAGCCTAGGTGGCCCAGTGGTTAGAGTGCAGTACTGCAGGCTACTTCAGCTGACTGCTAGCTGCAGTTCAGCAGTTCAAATCTCACCAGCTCAAGGTTGACTCAGCCTTCCATCCTTCTGAGGTGGATAAAATGAGGACCCAGATTGCTGGGGGCAATATGATGACTCTGTAAACCGCTTAGAGAGGACTGTAAAAAGCATTATGAAGCAGTATATAAGTGCTGTTGCTATTGCTATTGTTTCAGTCACAGATACCAAGACCCCAACCAGCATGACTTCTTTCCCATGTTTCCCACCATCAGGTAGGCGGCTGTGAGTTCAGGATGTTACAGTAGTGATCTCAGTAGCATTTATGACACTGACAGGTTTTTCCTAAGTATTTGCTCTGTTGCTTGGAAAACCACAATATTACACAAGAAGTGGCACTCCATGGCCATAAAAAGGCAGCCTGCCCCATGACTGCTTTACTTCACTCTTTCATCCAAACGCAAAGACGCTCAGTGTTAAAAGCTCATTAATAATCATTTGCAAAGAGGAAGAACTTGGTTTACCATTGGAAGCAACGCCTGAGCTGAATAAGGGGAATGCCAGACATATTGCAGAACTAAGGAAAATAATTGTGAAATTTCCAAGTTGTGTTTTCATTTCTTATCTTCTTCCTTCTCCAAAGAAATTATTATTTTTTCACTCAGTAAGGCATCTCTATTTCAGGTAAGTGATCAGGTTTCTAGCTGTTGCTTTTATCACTAAAATTTGTAGCTTCTCCCTTCTAAGCTCCTATAGTAACAGTAACAGAGTTGGAAGGGACCTTGGAGGTCATCTAGTCCAACCCCCTGCTCATGCAGGAGACCTGTACTAGGGATTCGAACCACTGAACTGCCGGCCTTTCTGATCGACAAGCTCAGTGTTTTAGCCACTGAGCCACCTAGTCAGGCTGAAGATGATGAACACCAGCCAAAAGATTGTGTCAATATGTATTTGAAACAAGATCACAGTTTGTGACAGATCCCTATGGATATATATGGATATATCCTTAGATGTAACTACACGGGTGCAACTTCTATGAGAATAAGGATTACGTTGATGAAAAAGCTATATTGCAAAGGGGTGCATCCCCCCCCCCATTTTCCAATTGGTCAGATGTCCCAAGGTCATCACTTACTAATCTTTGCAAAGAGAAAATACTGGGGATCTAAGTGATTTACCATTTTTATTTTCTATTTTTCTGGTATTACTGAGATTTTGCTTACTGTACGTTGTTTATCGTTTTTGTCGCTTATTTATGACTCTCAGGTTTTTAGATTGTACTGTGGATGTTTTAACTGTATGACCTATTCTATCCAAGCCATGAAGAGTCTTTCTGAATTGTGATGGGGAAATATGTGAAATAAATAAGGGCTTATTTACAAATAGATGTGCACAAAGAAGAGGCATTCCTCCATAGACATATGTTAGATGGTGGATTTGAACTGAAGATTCTCTTTGTAAGGAGATGGAGTAGCCTGGCAGATGTTTTTGATGTTTGATAGCCATGACCTGACTTATTCAGTATTGCTGACAACACAGGAAATAGTAGTGGTGGTAGTGAGTCTCCTTGAAAGATTCCTCTCTTGATATTAACCTTTCCCATCCTCATTGACCAGCAACTGTGTCTTCCATTGTGCCATTGATCTTTGCACAGAGTTTCTGATGTTTCTACTGATACCTGATATTTCTAGATACTTGATTATCCAATCATGTGGCAGGAAGTTGAATGCCTTCTTGTAATCAATCCAAGCTACATTCAAGCTGGTCATTCTTCTCTTGCAGTTTTCCAAAATCATTTTGTCAATTAGGAGATGATGTTTTGTTCTTTTGCTGTTTGGGCAGTTTCTTTTCTGCTCAGGCACAAAAAACTTTTATTCAACTAGATGCTGTTGGACTGCATCAGGTACGACATCAGTTAGCCATTTGAAAATTATTAGTAAGCAGGTTAATTGACCTTTTGCTGGATCTTTCATTATCAGATTTTGCCAGATGTTAACCAATCTTCAATTTCACCTTCTTGCAGTATGCTGTTAAATTGCTTGGCAGTGAGTGGGTAGAAGGCAGTCAGATGTTTCAACCAAAAACCATGCACTTCATCTTCACCTGAGGCTGACTAATACTTCATCTTCCTTGCCCTTTTCTTTATCATTTCTGTTGTTATTACAAGTTCTTTCATTTCAGCTTCTTTTTTATTCTTGTTCACCTCTTTTAGACAAGCTGCATTCTTGTTGTATTTCTTTGGGTTGTCCAGCAGCTGCATCCAGAATTACACTGTTTCTTCTTTGTTTGGTGCTGACTAGATCATTGGAATCTCTCAATTGATGGATTGGTAGAAAAATATTACTGATTTGACTGAAGCTGGAGAGTCTGACTACAGTGTGCAATTCAAGTTTCATATCTGCTAATCTCCTTGGTTATATTATTCAATTTCCAATTATTATTTTAGTTATTAGTTATTGTTCACTGCTTTATTATTTTCAGTGCTTCCTTGATCTTCCTGGTTTCCAGTTGTTATTTCTTGATTAGGCATTCTTTGGCCTTCAAGTTCTTCAGCCTCCTTTCATTTGTTCTGGCTTGCTTGCATCTGATCTTAGCATGCTGATCTTATTTTCTAACCTGATCTTCAATTCTGTTAGTGCACTGTTGCGCTCCCCCACCCACCCATTTGTTGATTTTGCATTCAAAATCAGTCCAAGGTATTCAGTTATAACTGCAGCTGGGCTTTAGATTGGTTGATTAGTTACTTGCAGTGAGCTGGTGCTTTTATCTGATATAACAGTATTGGTATTATTAGTACTTGTATTAGCTGTTTCTTTGGAGCAAGCTGCAATGCAAGCAATTCTGTTGTTTTTCTATTGTTTGAGATGCTCAGTTATTCTTTGTTTCAGTTCCTCTTGTTTTTTTAGTTAGAGGACTTTGTTGTTTCTGAGAGGGTTTCTTGTTTCTTGTTCGGCAATGAAAGTAGCTTCCTCTATCACCAAGACCCCAGTGTGCCTCTAGAACCTGAGTTACTTCTGGCAAGGCTTTAATTTCTTTGCCCTGGGTAGATCTTTTCTGTTCTCTGCAACTTTGATTCTTTATGTATTTAATATTAAATGTATTTATTTAATTAATTTATTTAATCCTTTATTTTATATTATAAAAATCATTGATCTACTAGCTTCTGTTCTATTCTTTCTAATTTCTTACTTTTAATTCTGGATCTTATTCTTTCCAGAACTGGTATATTCTTTTCAGATATCTTCTTCTCATTGACACTGATTTCTAATAACAAATCATTATTTCTTTGTTTTCAATCTTTGTATACTTGCAACGGGTAAACATTTTTTCTTCTGGTTGTCCTGCAACTGCTAGGCTTGATTGCTTAGCCAGTACTCCTGAGTCCTGTAGCCTATTTGTCACCAGATGTTCAGAAACTCCAACACTTAATGTGGTCCTTATTGATCCAGGTGATGACCAATCCAATTTGGGTTTTTGTAAATTATGTTTCATCATATTGTTTATGGGAGAGGTATGCTTTGTCTGGCTCTTCTGTTGATACCTGTCCAGTATGGTTGAACTTCGGGCATAGCTCTCATTTTCCTCAGAGCACACAAGATCCACAATCACATCAAGGTACTGCCCCCCCCCGGGAGATTATAATAATTATGATTATTTCTAATAAATCATCTGAATTTTTAGGTACATGCCTTGTTTTTTAGAGAACATTTAAAATGGAATTTCTACATGTTTATTTTATTAATAGTATTTCTATGCCGTTCTGTTCCAAAATAGTTCTGAGTAAATGCTGCTGTGTGAATGGGATATATTCTCCAGTAAATCCACCTAAGATTACATCTTAAATAAAAAGTTTTATGATGGCCAAGTGCCTGATTATATATGGAAAGGCTATATGACCTGTGACAAAATGTATTAGCACTCTATTCAATATTTTAAACACAATCATGCATGAGCACACACAGTCACACAGACATACATATATACTGATTAAACAGTAGAACCTCTGGTCACGAACGCTTCTGACCAAGACCAAATCGGGTTCCGACCAAAAAATTCACAATTTTTTTTCCGCGGCCAATTTCCCCTTTTGTGCCATTTTTTTGGTAAGCACCAAATTTCCAAAATTAGGTTTGGATCACGACCAAATTGGTTTGCGACCAAAGTTATGGAACAAATTATGGTTGTGACTGATTCTACTGCAGAGGTTCTACTGTACTGATTGTGGTGCCATAACACATATACCCCAGAGAATACCAAATACTAAATAGGATTTTTTTTCTTTGTGTAGGGATTTATATGTCTGCTGGAGCATTGACACCATTTCCTGTTCCCCCAGAAGGTGAGTTAATAGGATTATTTTGATTTCTCTATTCTTGGAGAATATGCTAATTAATTCAATTTTGTTTCCTCTTCCTCCTGATTAACAGGTCAATTTTAATCCATTCTCCATCCAAGCTACCATGACTTTGGCAGATGGTTGCAGGAAAATGCAATCCCTTCAAATGGTCTATAACTTTTATTGTTTTATCAATGCATAAAATACAAAGAAAAATAAAAATAGGAAATTAAGGGAGGAAAAAAAGGGGAAAGAAAATATGAGGTACTAGAGAAGAAAGAAAAAGGCATTGACTTCCAACTCTTTTTAGTACAGTACCACCTCAACTTCAACTTTTTACTTTTACACAATAGTATATAACTAGCCATTTGTATAACAACAAATCTATCTAATCGGCAAAACCAAAGTCAAAGTTTCCTTTTTTTCCATTACAAGCACAAAATCCAGAAGTGATATCCAAATAAAAAGCATAAATATATTTTCCTCTTTGAACAGATCAATTTGCACTTAATAATCTTTATAAACTATCACCATTTATAGTAATAAAATTCACTGTATTCAGATTCTTAAAGGGAAAATATTTTTTTCATCTATTTTAAAGCATTAATCTTTTCTTTAATAACATTTCTAAAAGTAAAACATTCTAATGCTTCACTGTCAGACCAATAAAATTCCAACTAATTCCAATAAATTCATTAAATTTAGATCATTTCCTCCAAGTTACCGTCATAGAATAATTTTTCTTCTTGTTGTATACATCCTTTTCAAAGCTCTAGATTTTTATTTACGCTAATACATCTTTTTCTTTAACTTTCTCTTAACATAGATATTTTCAAACACACTTTCAATCATATTTTACAAATTTTAGGAATTATTTAAGCATTATAAAGGAAAAAATTCATTTTTTAACTTTAGATTAAGACTTTCTTTCAATTACAAATATCAAAGCGATGAAAATCCATCCTAATTCCAATTGACTCAAGTTTAATGCAGTCCCTAATTGTCATGCCACCAATATCATGTGGCTTCAGCAATTCATTTCCTCATTCCAGTAGGAACTTTGACTGTCACACATCTTCCAATTTCAAGTTGCCACATCTCCCCACTGTCAGTTGTTTTTTAAAACAATTTTTAAAGACAGGTTTGGAGCTGTTTTGAAAGATTGTTAAACCCAAAATTAAAAGTAGCCTGGAAAATAGCTACTGTTTAGCCCACTGAAATTGGGATGGGACAACTTGCCACAGCCAAATTGCCACAAGACAACTGGCTGAAGGACAATTCAACAATTCAATTTAATTATTTAAACTAGTTAAACATTATTTTAATTTTTATCATTCACATTTCATTTTGTCCCTCCTTCAGCATCCTTCCTTTAATGATTCTATGCCACTATTTCTTCAATCTTAGTGTAACTCTTGTCCTGCAGTGAGTTGTCCCGTGATTGGCCATGGTGAATTGTCCTTTGGCGAGCTAGCTGAAGCTAGTTGCCTGTTGCACGTTGGCTGTGGCGAATTGCCACAAACCCTACTAGAATTCCTTCTTGTTGATTACACTATCCCCCTGCCTTTCTGCTGTTTGGGGGATTACTTCTGACATGAGCTTAGTACTTTTTTAGCCGATAGTTAAATCTGTATTTAAAAGGTTCTTTCTCAGATGCGAGCAACAGAGCCACTTGTAAATAGCTAAGATGTCTTCTACCTATGTCACAAGAATCTCCCCAGACTGCTTGCATTCCACTGGGAAAGACCAGATAATGAATCTTGCAGGAGATCAAGCTCATGATCAAGTTTACAGCTGTGCAATGAATCCAAGCTTAGTGCCCATCCTTTCAGCCTAGCGGGAAGTTTCCAACAACTTTGTCCAGTCCTGGCAGCCAGGTAATCAGCTGTCAGCCAGGCAAGGTGTACAAGAGAAATAGGCGATGAGCAAATTCTTTAGGTTCCAGGTCTCTGATCCATGAGTTTATAGGTTTGGCAAGTAACTCCGCTCTGCTTGATTTGCTTCCTTGTTCAGTGCTGGTATCTAAGACTGCCAAGACTGGGCAAGGGGGCAAGAGAAGACTCATAGATTCAATTCTTTATTCAGCAGGTCACTGGCTCTATGAATTGATCCATGAGACCTGGTGAACAAGGTTTGAAAGAACCAGACTTCTGTGCTACCCAACATAGAATGGCCCTGGAGGGTTGTGCCTACTAACAGGCTTAATGAAATCTAGTAGATAATTTGTACAGCAAAATATATCAAGAGAAGAGCTGAAACACTATTTTGGAAAGCTACATACAAATTAAAACTACCTCTGAAGTAGGATGGGATAAGGCCATGAGAATATGTCCTTTAAAAGCAGCAGGATATCTTTATGCCATGGTTAGAAGGACATGAACCTCAGCAAAAAAAACAGCTCTAGCTTGGCAGGATATTTTTATTTTTTTTCTATTATTCAAAGGGGATGAAGAATAGATGGCAGAAGTATTAGATCTCACACTGAGAAAGAACTTGAAACAGTGGCTATATATAGTACTATCTCTTCCTCTCTTTGTTATTTACTGACTTGGATTAGTATGTGATGAAGAAAATAGCAACTTCTCAGGCCAAGTTTCCAATATTTGCTGAGTCCTAATTGATAGGCCAGGCCTGGTTAATTGGTTGATTAACCAGGTCTGGTTAATTACTTTGCCAGAAACTTGTGAGAATTATTGCTGATCAAATCTCAAGGTGTTGGCAGACCCCAAAACCCAAGAGAGACACTTGCAAGCAGTTTCCTTTATTATTCCTTACCTACAGACAGAAATCTGGCCAAACTAAAGCAACTACTTCTTACTTTAAGAAGTTCTAGGGAGAAGCTTTCTTGACCCTCTTTCTCCCAAACAAACTATCTAAACTTCACTCTCTCTTGGTCCTTTGGAATGTCCCCTCTCTTCTGGAAATCCAAATTACATTCCAACCCCCACCTACTATTCTTCTTCCACAGGAGTGTAAAATGGCTACATGTGATACTCTTCCCTGCCCCCAATACAGCAGTGGAAGCATCTGAAATTTACTTTGCGTTGAATATGGAAATATTGTAGCATGCCTAGCCAACTATATTCTTTTCTTCTCCAAATCCAAAATTCAGTGATAAAGCTTCATCCAACTACTCTGGTTACTCCCCTATGTTAGTGTTTGCACAACTATTTGATTTATATCTTCAATTACAGATATTTACTGTAGCATTTATATTCATGGATCATAACTTAAAGATAATGTAAGCATTTTAGAGCAAGAATGAAATTTTGTAGAAGACAGAAGATTGAACCACAAAACTGCATACAGTATAATTGTGTGGAGAAATGGGTGGAAAGTTGAAAATTAGAAAACATAGGAAGATTCTAGGCTGCCAAGGAGGAGACAACATTGAGGTGACATAGCAGTTTGTATTCCCAAAGTAGCGGTATTGCCAATGAGATGAAAATAACATGAAGCAATGAAACAAGTATCTACCACTAATACGTCTTTTCAACTAAATAAAATTAGATTGCAAATTTCATTAAAACTTGCTTATTAAAATAACAAGAAACTAAATTAAAGGTGATTCAACTTTTCTAATACATTTACAATCAATAAAATCATATTGGATTGGCTGTGGATTACTTTGTACTGTACTTAGAAAGATTAAGAGTTAACCAACTCTTTTTTTCTGTTTAGATTCACCCAGTCATTTGGATGATGATGATTATGATGATGGTAGTGCTGTAACAATATCTTTACCGGCAAAAGCAATGGAAAAGAAAGAAGGTATTGTCTCTTTTAGTGCAGCCATAGTAATATTTGTTAAAGAAAGGAGGGTTTTATTTAGTAAGTTTTAGATGTGAAATACTTCAGAGACTTTAGAGTTTCCAGAATGATTTAGATATCATATCTAAATAGCTACTGATAATAATTATTTTTAGGGCTGTTTAACACTTCTGATTTGAAGAGAAAGATAATGTGGAGGGGTACTGAGGCTTGTAAAAAAAATCATTTTTCAGAAGAGGAATTCTAATCCATGTTACCATTTTACAGAGTTTTCATGATTATTGAAAATCTCAAGGATCTCTTTCTCTTTTAACTAGCACCTGTATAAAAATCAGACAAATACTACTGTAGCTTCTATAGCTTTGCACTGCTCTACCTAAGTCTAAAGCTTCATGTCTTATAGGTTTCTTTTGTAGTGTGTCTATAAATGCCTACTTTGGCTTTATCCCTTTATGAGTCAGTTTCAAATGTAAAACATTTTTTTTTAATATTTTGCTTCTACTAAAGAAAGTCAACCTTTTATTTAGTTCAAGAAACATGTCCCATTTTAGGTTACAAGCACAAGCTTGTCTACATAAATTTGCATCTTTGTGCTCCACAAAATTAATTGGTGTAAAGTAAACCTTGTTTTTAATCTTCTCTTCCACAGCTCCTTCCATCTGTAAACCTGCAAAAGAGAATAACTCTAGAAAGCTTCACATACCCATTCTCTATGTCCTAGTAGCCATAGGTTTTGCAACATGGATTACTTTCTTTTTCTTGGTCCTGGAGAAATGTAAGTGATTCCTGGTATCAATAGTATTGTTAGGAATTCCAAGGATTAGAACTGAGAACTTGTAGCAGTGAAGAATTCCTTGAACAGTGAGCTACCATAAATGTACATATTAGCTTCTCTATGCAATGACCATTGGATCTCCTCAATAGGAAGAGATATAAAATGTTTATACTCAGGCAGCCAGGTGGTCTCTTAACCAGGTGTTCTTAAAACTGCTACTAGTGACTGATTCTTGACTTTAACCTGCTCATTCCCCAGCTTTAACTCTCTCAATTGTTTTTAAAATACTTGATTAAAAATGTAGATTTTCAAAATGGCTCATTGGTTTTCAACTGGAGAAAAAACAAATATTTTCTACTGGCAAAAATGCATACTTCCCAGTCAGTAAGAAGTATTCCATCCATTCCAGTCACTTAATATCGGCCATTTTCTCCCCAGAATTCTCAGTCAGCTCATCGTTTGGGAAGTTGCAGGTCTACTATTATGTTTACATTGTCTATCCATTTTTTTCTTGGTTAGGTATAGGAGTGGTTTACTACTGACATCTCCTGCACAGTATAAAATATCTTTTTCTCATTGCTAAAGTGATTATCTTTCTCCCACAATTTTCAATATTGCTCCTACCCAAGATGGCCTGCTCGTTTTAACTGGATACCTGGATGTTTTACTGGAAACCTTGGGTGACCCGGCAGGGACTTCACATATACCTACATGCTATGTAGGCTTGTATAATACTCAGTATGTAGGTATAATACATACACTCTCAGTATTCTTTATTTCTGCCTTCAGGAAGAACACTTCCCCTTCCCTGACTATGAGGCAGCATAGTCAGAACTGAGATGGGGAAAAGCTGTCAAATTTTTGCCATATTAATTAAGCAGAGGCTTATAACTGTGCAGACCATAAACAATTGTTGCTAGTCCTTAAAACATGGATATATTAAGCCCCTTCATCTGGCTACTGAAGAATTTGTGTGATGACTAATAAGTAACAATAACATGTTTATTCGGAACAGAATATGGGGCATTATATTAAATTATAACAATTTAATTTGGGAATGATTATTAGAAACAGGAAAAACTTAAGGTATCTTTGGATAAAGGTGAAATAAATAATGCAAAAGCCAGTCTACTTCTCAATAAAAATATCCAATGCAAATAGTTTGGAGAAGAAATTGTGGTAGTTAACAGATTTTATCTTCCTATACTGAAAAAATGATAATGATGGTAATTATAGCCTGGGATAGAGAGATATCTGTTACATAGGAGAAAGATTATGAGAGAATTAGACATAGTTTTAAAGGACAGAGATGCCATACTGACGAATAACATTCATATTCTCAAGGCCTTGATTTTCCAGGTGAACTTATGGTTCTGAAAGCTGTACCTCCATAAAGGCTGAACAAAGAAAAGTAATTGCCTTTGAATTGTGGGGATGGAGAAAATTGCTGACAACACTTTGTATCACAAAAAGAACAAATCATTTAATATTAGACGAAGTAAAATCAGAGTGCTCATTGGAAATTCTACAGCCTAATTTGGACGTGCACAGCTTAAGTAATTGGAGTAGAGGCTCGAGGCTTAGAAAAATTGAATGCCATAGAAAAAAAAACTAACAGAAGACAAGGTGGTTGGAAATTATTACAGATGACATAAACATGAGCTTACAAGAACTCAATTACTCACAGACAGTTCTGATTAATGGGTCATGAGGAATTAGAGAGGTCTCAAAAATTGAACAATACAACATTACAATCAAAGGTTATAATATATCTATCAATACAATATAGAAGAAGTAAAGCTTATGTAATGTAAATCTTCGTGGAATGCATTATCTGATGGTCAAAATTTGATGAGTTGCTGAAAGAAATTTAAAAGGAATTCTGAACAACAAAGATTGTAATAGAACTTAATCAAGTTCAGTACTGAAATTACTTAATTTTAAAGTTCTTAAGCAAATCTGTTGTATTTATTATAAGTTTTATATAATTTTGATTAAATCTTGTTAGTATTAAATAAAATTGGGAGGTGCTTTAGTTTCAGATCCAAAATGGTACTTCAGTGCATATAAGGCTATGAATGTGGCACCTGTCTGCAGCTCTCAAAAGGAACTGTGGTTTTTCATAGGATTGTGTGGCTTAGCTTAACATCTATAATGATAATTTTAATGCTGCACAATTTCTAAACAAAGATTATTTTGGATTGCAGTAAAAAACAAAAATGCCACATTTTGTCTCATTTTCTTCTTCAGACTCAGAAATTTCAGAGAAGATAGAGAACTTAAACCTAAGCAACTCAGAGAAGTTTGCAAAAAGTAAGCACTCTGCTTTAAATATTTATACTGTATGTCTTTAATTATCTTGCGAATGGCACAAAACCCAAACTAGATGGCACTTTTAATATGAAGTTGCTAATGGATCTCATCAGCTGCAGGGCCCAAACTGCTAAGGGCCATAATCACTCTTGGTTTATAAGTATATTCAACTTCTTTTTGCTATGGTTCTGTCTCTAGTTGCTATTTGTGTGCATAATCAAGCATAACCACTGATCTACCTTTTAATGCTGCACAATTTCTAAACAAAGATTATTTTGGATTGCAGTAAAAAACAAAAATGCCACATTTTGTCTCATTTTCTTCTTCAGACTCAGAAATTTCAGAGAAGATAGAGAACTTAAACCTAAACAACTCAGAGAAGTTTGCAAAAAGTAAGCACTCTGCTTTAAATATTTATACTGTATGTCTTTATTATCTTGTGAATGGCACAAAACCCAAACTAGATGGCACTTTTAATATGAAGTTGCTAATGGATCTCATCAGCTGCAGGGCCCAAACTGCTAAGGGCCATAGTCACTCTTGGTCTATAAGTATATTCAACTTCTTTCTGCTATGGTTCTGTCTCTAGTTGCTGTTTGTGTGCATAATCAAGCATAACCACTGATCTACTTTCATCTTCTAGTACTAGAAGTTTTTTTAAAAGAAGGAAATATCTTCTAAACTAAAATATCTTGGATTTTGACATATCTAGTTTACAGTATAATCCTTCCTTCTTTGTTTGATTAAATTAGTTACTCTGTGTCCAATGATATTCTTTAACATACCAATTTGAAATCATAACCTTCTTTTGAATTTGTAGATTTTTGGGGGACAGGTTTGCTTGTTTCCCCATGTCTTTCTACATCTTTGGTGACTTTATAGATCATTCCTGAGATCTTTGCAGTTCTTGGGGTTGGCTTCTCTTTTATTCTTGGCGAATTTTATTGTTTGTTCTGACATCCAGTTTATTTTGTTTTGTGACCTTTGGCAGTCTCTTTTCATGTGCATCCTTAACAACATCTTTGACTTCATTCCATACTTACTCTGCTTTCATATTAATTAGGTTCAGGACTTCAAAGTGATTCCTGATGATTGCTTAGAAAATGATGGGAATACGCTTCAGATCATATAGGAGAAACTGATTGGCTTTGTTCTTTTGCTTTAATTTGAATTGGAACTTGCTCAAGAGCAGTTCATGATCTGTTCCCAGGAGTGTATAGCCACATATTTGTTGTTATAATTAAGCTCTTCTACTTTCTTTTATTAATAATGTAGTCAATTTGATTTTTGAGTTTTCTATCTGGTGATATCCATGTAAATAGGCATCATTTCAGTTACAATAAAACTGTGTTAGCATTGAAGAAAGCATTGGATTGGCAAACATGGATAAGTGGCTCTTCTTCTTCATTTGTTTCCCAGATCACACAATTCAATTACATTTTTCGCCTTAGTATTTCCAAATTTGGCATTCCAGTGCCAATCATAAGCAGTACACCGTGTCAATTTCAAATTGAATTTGACCAGAAAACTGGTCAACTTCCTCTGTTGCATCAGTGTTTGGACCACAAATTTGGATGGTCATCATAATAAAAGATTGCCTACAAAATATAATTGACATTAGTCCATATTTTGTCTCATCTTTCTTCATTGGACTTAGCAATTTTAGAGGAACTACAGAACCAAAACCTAAACTAAACTACTCAAAGAAGTTCATGAAAGGTAGCTCACTGTATCTGTTTAATATTTATATCTTTAATTATCTTGTAAAGGAGACCAAAGATAAACTAGACAGCAATTTTAGGGTGAAATTGCTAATAGACCCCATGTCAGCACTTCAAGCTGCATTTACTCTAGTGCTGACATAAGGAGAAGCGTCTGGAAAGGGACGTTGACTTTTCACCTACTTATTTTCCCTGGAGATAATATCCCCTAGGAGATGGGATGGGAGGGGGGAAATTCCTTTGAGCTGGAGTAGATTAGGGGTAGAATGACTTGGAAGATGGCCAATGAGTGCAGGGGAGTGGGGAACGGAAAGGGAGGGTTTGGGGGCTGGAAGTCAATGTTGGCTTCGATGGAGTCGGGTTTAGAATGCTGTGCTTAATAAATAGGAGTTTTTCTTCAAAGACTTTGTTTGAAATGCAATTTATTTGAGACAACCTCGAAACTTGACACCCCAGCTGCTAAAGACCATATATATTCTGTCCTTGAAGCCTGGTCTTCATAGCTTTAGTGGCCGCTGCTTTCACAGGCTACTGTTGGATGTCAGGTTGGTCTGTAATAAGGCTATCATTATCCATGATACAATATAATCATGGATGACAGTGTGAATTTGGAATATATCACTGAGATCTGGCTGGATGCAGAAGGGAGCTGGCTTCTCAGAAATGTGGCCCACTTTTCAGGTATGACATTAGCCAAGACTCTGAGGTAGAAATAGGGGTATGATCTCTGTCATCCAGGAGACTCTGGAGGCTTCCAGGTCTCTGTTTCACAGATAACTGGATTTAGAACTCTGTTTGGGAAGTTGGGCCATAGAGATCAGATGGAATTGCTACTTGTATATATAAAACTCTCTGCTACTGAGCAATCTCCCTACTAAAGATACTTGATTCTGATGGTGGAGTTTCCCAGGCTTATGTTGGGGGATTTCAATCTGATTTTGCTTAGCCCAGAATTGGAGGCAGCTCAGGAATTCTTGACCACCATGTTAGAGACCTGAGCAATAGATGACTTATTCTCATGACATGACATATCCGTCAGCATTTTGATTTGTCTTTTAGTGATGAAAGACCTGGATTATGTTAAAACAACACAGTTGATGGCTGAACAATATTCAAGTAACAGGTTCACTGAAACTGAGGACATTTTAGGTAAGACACCTCTAAAAAAAGTTCTACATCTGTATTCTTCTAAATGGCAAGTGGGTCATCCTGGTTGGAAAATGTGAATATCAGAAATAGTCAGGAAGCCAAGGAAAATGCATATAACAAACATATTTTCAGTCACAAAGTTTCCCTTGCTGTTTAACATTGTATTGGGGAAGAACCATCCTGTCCAGGTTCTGTTCTGAACATCTGAAATCTACACTTAGAGGAAGTGAAGGTTCCTAGACAAGGCCTTTAGGAATATAGAGAGCAGAGTTGCTTAGCACTACTCTTTTCATACATTATTTATAGGTCCTTTGTGGGGAGGGGTTTGGGCTTTTTCAGGAAACTGAAGCTTCCACATGATGCTGTCCATGATGTATTTCAAAGCTGTAAAAAGAAGTACATGTCTCAGTTTCCTTATTAAAACACAACCAGAAATGCACGAAATTTGTATACAGTATTCAAAAACAGGAAAAAGCAGAAAAACAGCTTCTATAGACTACAGTGGCAAGTATTTAGTGTGACGTCCCTTACACTTGAGCAGCAGCACTCATCTGGCTCCCATAAACATAAATGGAATGGAACCCTAAGTACTATTATTGTTAACACCAGTATGTATCCTACTATTTGATGCCAAAATGACTGCTGTGCAAAAAGTTCTATTACACCAGGTTTGTGCAATACATGCTTGAGCATTACATACAGTACAAACACAGGATGTACGACTGTAATACATTGGAAGCTTGCTAATAAGACCAATTTTCAATTATATCATTCCAGTCAAAATATCAAAGATCACAGAATTTGACGGACATAAAAGCATACTTTTGCATCAGCAAGGCCACTCTCAAAGGAAATCAACAAACAAATGGGATGTTAAAGATGTGGTATTCAAGACCAAAAAATAATCATGGAGAGTCATTAAAACTTTTCTAAAATGACAAAACGGGAAGTGGCCTAAGACTTTTGCACAGTACTGTATGTGTGCTGCCCACTTAAACTGTAATTTCATATGCCTATGTGATCTCAGCTATTTCTAAACACTATTGCAGACTAATAGAGGCTTCTATCATATTTGCTTGTAGAATCTGTCTGCAGCTGGGGAAAAATCACAATTGATCATTCATGTCCCTACCGTTGGAAGCATCAAAGGAAATATTGTTATTACTTTTCAACTGAAAAGACAAACTGGACTAATGCTTTGTCGAATTGTATTAATCGTAACGCATATCTGGTTAGCATTTCATCTGATGATGAACAGGTAAGTCCTCCTATATAGCTGATTCTGGTAAGAAATCAGATTTAAAAAAAATTAGCAGTTCCTAACACTGAACTTTTCTGGACAGAGACCTCTGATGTTCCTGGGTTCTGCTGAAGCCATTCTCCGAATTTAGAAGTCACAGCCCCAAGCATTCCTATTACACTGGGACCACATTGGCTTTTTGCTTTCCACATCCTCTCTAGTTCCTTCTTCAGGCCCTGGTACTTCTCCAGCTTCTGTGATTCTGTAATGGAGTGGGTTGTAGTGATGTTCCAGCTTCAGCTGTTGGCTGCACTTCCTGTTGTTCTTCTCTCATATATTTCATCTATCCTCTCTCGTTAGGTCTGCTACTTTAGTAGCATTCCATCATTTCCAGGTTCTCTTGTCTCATCCATATATGGTTTGTTCCAGCAGTATGGTATGTTCTGGGGTTGTTTCATTTGCTATCTCCCATATATCTTTAATACGAACATCTATACTTGCTATTCATTTTGAGAAGCATCCATTTATGCCCTGAGTGAATTTTTAGTAGGCTTTCACAAAGGTGGCATCCAAAGAGTCATGTTTGGCACCTATTTGTAGTCATTTTAATAGACACCGAAAAACCTTTTTTTCCTTAAAGTTCTTCATTTGCTGCTACCCAGTTTTATATTACTTTATTCTGTTGCTGGCTTTATTCTGTTTCAAGTTCTCTTTTATTTTAATAATCTTAGGATTTTTTTGTTGTTATTCGGTCAATATAGTAATAGAACATAAAACAGTGAACCATAGGGTGGAAGGGACTTCAGAACTCTTCTAGTGCAACTCCCTGATTATACCATCATGGTAAAATGGTTGTCCAGTCTGTTTTGAAAACTTCAGTGACAGAGCACCCAGAACTCAGGGAGGCTAGCTAATTCCATTCATTAATTGTTCTCACTGTTAGAAAATTTATCCTTACTTCTCTTTAAAAAGCTTCCATCCATTACTTCTTGTTCTGCCCTTTGGTGCTTTGGAGTCAATCCCCTATATTGCAATCCCCTCTTGCAGTATAAAGCACCATTATCACTTCTGGTGATCATGATCAGTGGTGAGTTTCAAAATTTTTTACTACTGGTTCTATGGGTGTGGCTTGGTGAGCATGGCATGGCTTGGTGGGCGTGGCTTGGTGGGTGTGGCAGGGGAAGGATATTGTAAAATCTCCATTCCCTCCCCACTCCAGGGGAAGGTTACTGCAAAATCTCCATTTCCTCCCAATCAGCTGGGACTCAGGAGGCAGAGAATAGATGGGGATGGGGCCTGTCAGAGGTGGTATTTACCGGTTCTCAGAACTACTCAAATTTTCCACTACCGGTTCTCTGAACTACTCAAAATTTCCACTACTAGTTCTCCAGAACTGGTCAGAACCTGCTGAAACCCACCTCTGATCTTGATGTTATCTCTCTGTTGATGCAGCCCAGGATTGCATTGGCTTTTTGGCAGGTGTTTTTCCAGCCTAAGTGCAGAACTTACCTCTCTAGCCACTGAACTGCATCTTGTTGGATAGAACCCAATGCTCAAGTCTGTCAAGATCTTTCTGAATCTTGAGTCTGTCTTCCAAAGTGTTAGCAATTCCCCCCCCCCATCTTGGTAGCATTTGCAAATCTGATGAGATCCCTTCTATCCCCTTGTCCAGATCATTTATGAAGATGTTGAAGAGCACTGAGCCCAAGACAGAACCTTGAGGTACCCCACTGCATGTTTCCTTCCATGTTGATGTAATTCCATTAAGGAATGCTGGATGTGGTTGGTCAGCCAATTGTGAATACATCTGGTGGTGGTATTGTCTATCCCATATTTTTCCACCTTATCAAGAAATAATCTGTGTTCTACTTTGTCAAATGCCTTACTATGTCCACATGTTTAGTCACTTTATCAAAGAGGGATATAAGGTGCCTCTGATATGATCTGTTTTTGACAAATTTATTCTGGTTTATAGTAATCACTTTGTTCATTTTTAGGTACTCACAAATCCTACATTTACCTTTTCCTGAATTTTCCCAAGTATTTATGTCAAGCTGATTGGCCTATACTTTTTTGTTTCAGGGTTTTCTGACAAATAACCTCAATGAAGTTGACTATTGGCTGGGTATGAGTGATTTAGAAGGAGCGTGGAAGTGGAAAGACAGTGGTATGCTAATCAGTACAAGGTGAGCATATTTTGGATGTTTTTCTTTTCTTTCTTTTTTAAGCCCCATGTTTCAGAAAACAAATTTTAATAAGCTCAGGGGGAAAAAATTAATAGGATTTCACAGATTTGGAAATTTATGAAGAAAAAGAGCTCAAAATATGTGTGAGCTTCTAAAAAAAGAAAATTTGAAAATATATTTGCACATAATTCCTATGAGGAAAAAATGTAGGACAGCAGAAAACTTGGGGCTACACAATTTTTTTTTTAAAAAAAAGGATATATAAAGGAGATGGAAGGGAGAATATGAGTGATATGGAACTGCAGAGATGGTGTGTGAAAGCTAAAGCTCAGAATGAGTCCTGGTTGGTGACAAGTGCCCAGAATTATAATAAGTGGGCCTTTAGAAATATTCAAAACAATAGGAAAATAATTAATATACTAGTTGCTCAGCAAAGATGGCAAAATGCCCACAGGTAGCAAGATGACATAGCTATTTGGTATAGTCTTCTTGACCCAGAAAAGACGTGTTCCACCAGGAAACAGTGAAGACAAAATAACAAGTCCGGGTGAAATATTGAGACTGACTGAAATGGAATGGGAATACCAAAATATCTGTTTCCTTTGAATGAGTTTGTATCTTTGGGTTCAAATGAACATCATCTCTAGTCTGTTTGAACAATCTTAGAGTAGAAAGAAACCACAAAATGACTGCAGATCAAACATGGTGAACTCATTGGTGCTCTCTGAGTTTGATTATTTGCTTGCAGAGATTTCATTAACCAACTGGAAACATCATCCAGTGCTAATGAGACTTGTTCCTTATGTGTGTGTGTGTGTGTGTGTGTGTGTGTGTGTGTGTGTGTTGGTGGGGTGTGGTTGATTAGGGTATGGTTTTCTGCTTGTTTGTCAGTGTTAATCCATGCTTTTGTGGATGTTGGTTGCTGGAGTGGATATGTTTGCCCCCCCCTTTTTTTCCTTCTTAGCTTTATATTGTGCCTTTATTTCTATGTGTTTATTGACAGCTGATTTGTCTGAATGCCAAGCTTCCAATATTTCTCTAGTGTTTTTGGATTTGACTTGGTCTAGGATGCCCTCACAGTTTTTCCCCGAATGCCATAATTCTGCTAAACAAATAATTCCCTCAACACTGTCAAACTATTCACTAAGGCTGCATTACTATTATTATTAGTCTTCTCATTGTTCCTATCACCCATCTCCTCCCACTTATGACTGCATGACTGTAACTTGGTTGCTTATATCCTTACGATTTATATAGATATTGTTTCCTAGTATGGTTTGATTGCTTATTTTTACCCTATGACTATCATTAAGTGTTGTACCTTATGATTCTTGACAAATGTATCTTGTCTTTTTATGTGCACTGAAAGCATATGCACCAAAGACAAATTCCTTGTGTCCAATCACACTTAGCCAATAAAGCTATTCTATTCTATTCTATTCTATTCTATTCTATTTTCTATTCTATTCTATTCTATTCTATTCTATTCTATTCTATTCCATTCCATTCCATTCCATTCCATTCCATTCCATTCCTATTCCTATTCCTATTCCTATTTCTATTCTATTCTTCCCCATAATTGATAAAATCCATTTCCCAGTAAAATAAACCCTATCTTTCAGTTAGATGAGGTTCAGTAAGTTTGTGTACATCACATTCACCAAATTTCTCATGTGTTGACCATTTTTGCTTGATTTTAGAAACCAGGTCAAAATTTGTAAATGCCAGATGTCTGTGTCCATACTTCTCTTCTGTCACTTTAACTCTTGAGAAAAAAGTGGACAATACTTCTTAGTTGCTGCATATCCCCTCTCCTCCCCAGAACTGCAGAGCAGAAAGAGGGACTCTGGCCACATGAGCTACATAATTAGCAAACTCATCCATATAGAAGATACAACTTATATTCTATTCCATATGTCATTAATACCATGCTAATAATTATTTTAAGAGGAAGATTAAAAACACTAGGTCATAATCTCAAGGTAGAATGCATGAATAATATAGCATATTCATAAGAATATAGATAATTACATGTTAATATTAAATACTCTGTTATTTTCTTTCTAGTTTTTGGAATCGAGGAGAGCCAAGCAAGGATGAGAACAAGGACTGTGGGATCATGTATCCCAATGGAACATGGGCATCTGCTGTGTGTTCTGCTCAAAATAGGTGGATTTGCAAAAAGAAATTGATCTGCTGAAACAATTCTTTTAGTTGTGTGCTCCTGATACAGGATTTATATAATCAGTTATGTACTGAAGATGCTTAGTAACCAGACAGAAGTTAGCATGTTCTTATCATTCATATTGTGATGCACAATTCCATATTTGCCCATATCAAAATGTATAGATAATTGTATGATTAAATAGTTCCTTCTCTGCAGCTGATCCATATTTCTCATAGTTCGCATAATAAAACTTGGGGCAGAGCAACAGGTATACTTTCCTGTAGTTTCTTCATAAATAACAAAAAATTAGACACGTTAAATTAATGAACTAATATAGTAGGCACTTTGGTCCATAGAAACATTGTCAATTCCTGCCCTCCAGTCACCTATAATAATGGGGCACTCTGACAGAGAGCATATACCCAGTGTTTTTAAAATGGTGCGGCTACAATCCTAATTATTCATGAATGTCGCATGATAATAGTCAAGGCAATGAACACATTAGTTTCAGGAAAATTCCCCAAACAAAACTCAGAAAGTATGATTCCTTGTATAAAAACCAGGAGAAAACTTTTAGAACTTGAAGTGGTCAGGCTGCCCAAAAAGCCACTCATCAGCTTGAGTTTTAGTTGTATGTGAAATATTAAAGATTTTAAGAAGCGCAGGTTTCCCCCCCGCCCCTTCCTTAATTATATAACTTTTAGCCTCTAGGGTCACACACATGTTCCATTCTTGAGAACTGCCCTAGCATTCCCCTACCATTTACATATCCCGCTTCTTCCACCTCACTTGCACAAGCACTCATTAAGCTGCTTCTCAAGCTCAATTGCAAGGTGGTAGTGAAAGTGGAGTGGGGAATGCAAGATGCAGTTTTTGGAGGTGCATGTTTAAATATATTATCAAGACAGAAAAAGAAGCAGCAACACTGTGAAGCACTAGTTGCCAACTTGGGTGCTTGCAGATCTGTAGACTTTAGCTTCCAAAATTCTCTGCAGTGGTCTTGCAGACTGGGGAATTCAAGAAACGACACACTTGGGGGAAGATTGATGTCAAGGCAAACCCAAAAGAAAGGAGGTTGTACAGAACTAAACTTGTTACTCTCTGCTCTAATCTACTCTCAAATGCCAGTAATCATCAGTCTATTCTTTTTTTAGGAGGTCTTTAGAAAACAGTGCAAATCAAAACAATAATAATATTGAAAGGGAGTAATTATATTAGTTTAAATATGCTATTATGTTTTTCTCTCTGCATAGATAGCAGCTCAGCAGTAAGATACATTGCTGTTGATTTTGAGGGGGGGGAAGCAAATTTACTTTCAAAATACCCACTGTATGAATGTTTTCATAATTTTGCATGGGAAATATGCAAGTCACTTGATTTTTTTATAGTCAGGGTTTGCTCTCCTTATGCTTTCCTATGCATATTCTGAAACTATTTCTTTCTCAATAGTTTAATAGAGTAGTTCATTCTTTGATATTCTTTGGTAGTATTTTTAAATTAATCTTTTAGTTTTTACTTCACATTTGACAAAAAAGGGCATTCAAATAACCTGTGAGTTGATTTAAAGAGTATGTATCTTTATGTAACAAAGGTTCATGCCAAATCAATGTATTCTCACATATATTTACTTAGAACTAAATCTTACTTCAATAGAGCGAACACCTAAGTAAAAGTGTTCTATTTATTTGGAAATAAGCAGTATTGGGAGAGACTGTGCTATAAAACTAGAGTGTTTAACAGCTCTGTCATAGAACAATATAATTATGCTCCCCAAAGTTCCATTCCAGTTTTATGGAACATGAAGATTTTAGTTAATTGCATTTTTATTCCACATAACCTAAATAAGTACTGTAACTGTAACATACCATAAAGAAGTATTTAACGTTTGAATGTATATTGAAAAACAAAATATAACAGTTGACACTTCCAGGCTTCCAGGCACAGGATGAATTTATCAGGTGTTCTAAGTTCACTCCTGATCTGAATCAGAATATAGGGATTCACCACATTAGAACATGCATATTAGTTAATCAAAACCATTCTTGTTGGTTCCACAACCAAGTCTCTGGAATGTAGTTTTAGATAACTTTCCTACTCTAAAGAGGTTCTCTAGATAATATCCTTAATTAAAAACCAGGTATCTCCAGGAAGCACTTCAAGAAACAAACTTGGTAATAGTTCCATTATCTGTTACCAAACTCTAGATAAATCAGGTATCATGATCAATAATTTGATATGTTTAAATATCTTGTAATCTACTAGAGCTAAAAGCTGCACCAGTTTCTGGGCATTTCAAGTTGTCCAGTTTAATATATTTCCTTCTAGTCTCTGAACTGCATGGATCAATGCCAGCATAATTTGCTCTGTCCTAATAGTCAATTCCTACTGTACCTTTGGTAATGAGGGTCCTGTGTGACATCCTGACAGTTTACTGCAGGATACGATAAGGTACGGTGAGTGATAGATTTTCTGCCAGGTTGACAATATTCACCAATTGTTCTCCCTATTGTGGGATGACTAGGGTAAGAGGTGGGTTTTTATAGATGGCTAGACCCATGGTTGTGGTAAGTGGAGGCTTACCTATAAAGCATAGTAAAAAATATGAAGGAAGAATGGTTACAATTAGCCTGACCAAAGCTGTGCTTCCCCAACTCTCAAAGTCCAGTTGCAGTTGCTTGAACTGGGAACAAACAAGGATGTATGATAAGCTAGCTAGACAATGGATAGAAGCAAGAATTAGTGATAAGCTAGTAAAATGAATTATATTAGCCTTTGTAGAACACTCAACCTTTGTAAAACGTTCCTTCATATATCATGAATTTGCAACTTGACTCTGTATGCATGTTAAGCTTTCATTTTCAACTAGGTAGGTTGAGTTGTTGCTTGCCTCCAATACTGTGCATTTAATAAAGTAAGATTTTACTCCAAACAAAAGGTGTGGGTTTCATTACTCCAACCTAAGGAACAAATTCTTCCCAACAAATCTCTTCTATTTTACCAAGAAGCAACCACTGATCCCAAGGATAACCGGCAGACTATCTCTGTCACTTGCTTTTTCACTCTGTCCCTTCCAACATTCACTCTCACTTGCTTATCTTTGTTATTTTGCTCACATGTCTACTTCATTCTATCTATCTATCTATCTATCTATCTATCTATCTATCTATCTATCTATCTATCTATCTATCATCCATCCATCCATCCATCCATCCATCCATCCATCTATTCTTTCTCCCACTTAGTTGCATCTCTCACTCATTACTGCATTAAGCTTTTGCTGTATTGATCTCTCAATCACTCTCATTTGCTCATCGTGTTTTTCTTGATTGCTGGTCTGTTTCACATGCTTAACTGTCTCTTTCTCTCAATAGAAAACTGGCTGATGTATGAAGTCTAGAGAGAAGTAATAATGAAATAACCTGAGGGCAATGAAGTTGCATAACCACCAGGAAATGAAGTCATGCTGCCATCTAGCTGCTCACATTTTAAAACAAAAATTAGCTACTACCTAAATCCAGCTTTCCCCGCTTTATGCCTATCAGATTTTTTGAACTAGAATTTTGAATTCCATGCCAGCATAGCATTTGTTCAGCACTCCACATTGTTTGTGCACAAGTTTTAACCACAATTAATATTATACACCCTATTCATTGTGAACATTGAGTAGCAGTGTTACAGTGCCATTGTAGTACAGGTAGTCCTTGAGTTATGACCACAGTTGAACCCAAAATTTCTGTTGGTATGTGAAACATTTGTTAAGTGAGTTTGCCCCATTTTATGACTTTTCTTGCCACAGTTGTTAAGTGCATCATTGCATTTGTTAAGTTAGTAAGATGTTGTGAAGTGAATCTGGCTTCCCCATTGACTTTGCTCGTCAGAAGGTCACAAATAGTGATCACATGACTCCAGGACACTGCAATCATCATAAATATGAACCAGTTGCCAAGCATCTGAATTTTGATCACATGATCATCGGGATGCTGCAAAGGTTGTAACTGTGAAAAATGGTCATAAATCAAATTCTTCAGTGCCACTGTAACTTTGAATGTTCACTAAATGAACTGTTGTAAATCAAGGATTACCTGGATAGGGTAGTGATTAAAGTTAAGAACTAGGATTGGTTCAAGTTCATTGAAGGAGAGTGATATGCATGTCCCTTTGAATTTCTTGTGGAAAGATGGGATATAAATCTAACTAAGAAACAAACAAGGAGTTGATTCTGTCATGGAGAGATCTCACATACAAAAAGGGACTCTAGTACATATTCTACTAAGATTGGAGATCATCAGTGGTGGATTGCTATTGGTTCGCACTGGATCGGGCGAACCGGTAGCGGCGGCTGCGGGAGGCTCCGCTCACCCACCTGCACGCTTCTGTGCATGCGCAGAAGCGCCGCCCGCACAAGCATGCGCGCGCACATGAGCAAACCAGTAGTGACAGGATTTGAAACCCGTCCCTGGAGATCATGATTTAAGAAGTACCATAACAGGTTGACTTGCAAGAAGGTGTGGGACAAGATGTTAATGGCTGTTTTGATTCTATAGTAACTGGATACTATTGTAGATGCAAAAGTAAGCAGGACAGAGGACACACAACTAGAACAACCACACACCGTGATGGTAAATTTGGACAAAAAAAAATGTTCAAGTGGTTATATATGTTGACAGCAGCTAGAATACTTTATGCATAGAAATGGAAGAATACCTTGAATCCCACAATAGACAAATGGCTCCAAAAGTAGCAGAGATGGTAAAATTGATTGCTTTGATCAAAGAAAATACAATTAATTTTGTTTCTACTTGGAAACTACTTTTGGACTTTGTGCTTGCGATGGAAAAAAAATGAAACGTGATTTTGGGTTTTGATGATTAGGTAGATTTGTTATAGAAACAGCTAATATATATTATTATATAAAAATAAAAAGTTGAGGTTATATGTTATCTTCTTCTACTGTGCCAAAAAGAATCAGAAGTCAATGCTTTTCCTTTTCTTTTCCCTTTTATCCTACACTTTCTCTTCTTCCCCTTTTCCTCACCTATTTTCCCATTATTTTCATTTTTGTTTGTATTTTATATTTTGATAGACTACAGTACTAAAAATACAAAATGTCATACATTCCAAGTCTTATGTAAATTATATATAATACTTGGGCTTTTAGGGAAATTTTCAGTACTTGAGATGAATGAAGGTATCAGATGATTCTCAAAATGTACTCAGTTGCCAAATGTTTGGGGATTTCTGATCTTACTTATGACTAATCCTCAATATTTACTATTAACTAGCCAGAGTTTTTATAAAGGATATTTGAAGAACAGCTTGCGTTCTAGAGTTGTGGGTGTTTTCAAGACAGGATTAGACAACCAGTTGTCCTGGATGGACTCCTTGTCTTGGGCAGGGGATTGGATTAGAAGACATCCAAGGTCCCTTCCAACCCTAGAACCAATGGTTCTATGGATTAGATACTAACTGCAATCCCAGGAAATAATGTTAGAGATAAATACTGTTAAGGATTTTAGCATCCTTAAAGGAAACTGGATTTATTTTGTGACCATATCACAAAATGCTTTTAATCTCTAAATTTCTCATGTTCTAAACAACTGCACAAAATGTTCCCCTCCTCCCTGTTTCTATGGTGCATTTAGGCTGTAATTGTATACAGGTTTATTTGAGATTAATAAAGAAAGGACATATTTTTGAATAAGTATGCCAGAGTTTGTGTTCCCTGTACTGTAGCAATAATCAATGTTTTTAAGCTGGTGGAAATAATTTGTATTTTAAGACTATGTCACCTGTGGTCTACAGAGGTTACTGTGAAGGCTTATCTGTTAACAAAATGGCTTCCAATATGGGCATGGCTAATCACAAAATATTTCTACTTTTGAGCCCTATGGCAAAATTCCCCAACCTTTCTGGCTTTGCAGTGTGGGGGGGGAGAGTAGATGGTTTCATGCGAATGGCGGGCAAGTGCAATTTGCACGAGCGGTGGGTGAGGGCTCCAGCCCCCCATACAAATGAGGCATGTGGGCATGCGCTCGCCCGCCACTTCCACAGCCTGGTTCTGAATGGCTGAAGGCCCAATAGTGGGCCATGGCCCGGGGATTGGGGACTCCTGCCCTATGGCATTCTTATAAATAAAGCTGAAACTGGAAGCTGGTGCTTCACTGTGCAATATGTCAGCTTGCCATCGATCATTATATATTAACTAAAATAATTTGCAAAATGTTAGGTAAGAAAAGTGCCTATATGTGGGAACACTACCTGCCTGGGACATATATTTTACCTTGACTATAAGTCCAAGATTAAAAGGAGTAAAAGTACAGGTAGTCCTTGACTTACAACACTTCATTTAGTGACCATGTGAAGTTACAACAGCACTGAAAAAAATGACTTATAACTGTTTTTCATACTTGTGACTGTTGCAACAATTCTATGGTCACGTGATCAAAATTCAGACACTTGGCAACTGATTCATATTTATGACGGTTGAAGTGCCCTGGAGTCATGTGATCACCTTTTGCAACTTTCTGACAAAGTAAGTAAATGGGAAAGCCAGATTAGTGACCATGTTACTACCTTAACAACTGCAATAATTCACTTAAAAACTGTAGCAAGAAAGGTGGTTAAGTGGGTAAAATTCATTTAACAACTGTTTCACTTAGCAACAGAAATTTTGGACTCAATTATGGTTATAAGTCAAGGACTACCTGTATATTATGTCAAGAATGTTCCTTGATCTCACTGTAATAAAGATTGACTGATATAAGTAGACTAGAGATTTTTAATAGTAATTTTATTAAAAATTGCAATCACAATTATAAAAAGCAAACTAAAAGAAAAAGAGAAACAGAAGTTTTAGAAAAGGAAAAAAAATAGAAAAGAAAGAAAAATTGTAAAGAAAAAGAAAATGAATATACAAAAAAATGATGCCCCATTTTATCACAAGAATAAACAATTTTAGTCTAGTGTAACCTCTTTTTCTTATTCTTATAGACTGTAACTTTTTCAGTCTCAGACTTCTCCGGTAAAAAATATTCCTCTTCCTCTTCCATAACATCTTTTAAACACAATCTAGAGGTTAGCACTATTAACCTCCGGGTCTACAGTTAAAAAAATGTTCAGTCTTAAAATATTTTGCTCCATTCTGAATTAATAAATCAAATTTAAGTGCTATTCTTCTTTAATTTTAATCTTTCATTCCTTCTAGTTTCCTCTAGTGTCCAACCTTCAAAGTCTCATCCTATTATTTTTTTTTACATGAATTCAAAACTAAAGTATTGCCCTATGGGAAGAATTATTTTAATTAATCCCAAAATTTATTTCAAATCCTTATGGACCCTTAATCTGTTTGTAACTTTCCAAAAATCAAAGTTCTAAGTAACCCTTTTGCTGTTTATTCCCTTCCACATTTTTAAAAAAGTCTTTAAACTTGTACTTAAAATTCCTTTTGCTAAGAATTGAAGAAAACTTACGTAGTGTCTTCACACTTATCAATCCACAGGTTCCTAATAGCCGAAAAGCAGTTAACAATAAATTATTCCAAAAATGATTGGAAAAAAGAAGTATGCAAACCCAGTATCCTTTTAAGGCACCAATCATGGTTTGAGCAAGATGGTTATTCCCTAGTCTCCCAGAGTTCTAAATGCACCAGAGATTTCTGTCTTGTGGTCTTCTTGTGAGAAGCACCTGTTTGGAGCACTTGTGGGCAATCTTAAATCCTTTCCTTGTCCAGAAAGGAATTACGAAGATCTACTCCCCAGCTTTTCATTCCATCACCATTCAGTTCACAATTTCTTCCCTGGAAGTCCATTGAGACAAGATGGTTCCATAGATCAAAAAACTAAGTAAGGCACCATATTCAGAAGTGGAGGTGGGGGTGGGGGGAATCAAATTTCTTAAAATCCTTTTTGTGGTGGTGTGATTGCTAATGGCATGGTTTTCCTAGGGTGTCAAAACCATAACAATCAGTGCATCCAAGGTAGCAATTGCTCATATATTTTTAATAAGATGAAATATTGCAGCATATCAATTACCTTCCAATGACCTTCTTCCAAAAGAAATTTAACCCTAATTGCATCCCTAAACCTCTGAAATGAGAAATGGGATAACACAGCACTAAAACAGCTTTTAATTAAATTACTTTATAATTGTGGGGAATGGTTCTAGTGATCCTGACTTATTGTAATAATTTATTTTAAAGATATTGAGTCTAGATATTTGAATCATGGCAACTCATCGCATTTATCAATCTAAAATCCCTGGTGGCGCAGCAGAGTAAAGCACTGTTATTAACTGTAAAATGAGGACCCAGATTGTGGGGGCAATAAGATGACTTTGTATAAATATACAAAAGTATGAAGGCTATTGCTTAACGCATTGTAAGCCGCCCTGAGTCTTCAGAGAAGGGTGGCATATAAATCAAATTAAAAAAAAAATCAATGGCTCAGCTGTGGGTATCTTATGTTTTGCTTTATATTTCTATTTTGTTTCCATTCACTCTCTCTGCATCCTAAAACCCCAATAGTTTGAACACTATATTCTAATATTCTACAATACTAACCATTTGCTTCAAATGACTGCATCATTAATATTATTGATTAAAATGGGACAAACTGGCAAAAATATTTTCCTCTTTACCTCTACAGAAAATGCACCTTTTTTAAAAAGTGAAAAGTCCAGAAAATTAAAGTACTGTAATAACTTAAAACTTATATGAAAACTTATCTCAGTTAGGAAGGTAACGAGGAAAATATTTCAGGAGAGAAATTAGGTGGCCCTCAGCATATTAGGAATAGGATTTCAACCACCAATCCACTTTCACCTTACACAATAATTTCTTAGTTCCTTAGTATTTACTAAAGGTAAGTTTATAGGTCAAGGAAGATCTCTAAAATATGCTGATAATCATTAGAGGTGGGTTCCATTTTGCCCTATGGTATTTTTCATTCCAATTAACATCAATGGAACAAAACTTTAATACTGAATATCCAATTTGATCTTGGGCTTTTCAAAGTTTGGGATTTACTTCTGGCTGTATAATTTCTTGAACTAGCCATATTATGGAATGACAATAATAAAAACCACTCTCAACTGTTTCTAGCATAATCTACTCAGGGCAGTGAACTGAAGCAAAAATACAAAGAAATATCAAAGAAACAGAAACAGCTGAATAATTATTTATCATATGGAATTACACTGATCATTAATGACCACAAAGAAACATTATTTATCCATTCTTGATTATAACTACTCTTGGGAAGTAAGTGGCCATAAGAGAAGGAGCAAATGATGCAAGTAACACCATCAAAAAACATTGCCACAACAAATATCATCACCCCAACAGAATGATGCTTGTGATGTTTCATACAACTTTTATTTTTAACAGAACAATTTTTAAAGTAATTTCCTGGAGAAGACAGGTGGGATACTTTTTTTTCTTAATGCAGCAGGCTCCTTCTGTATGGATAGTATTTTGCATTCATATACCTGAGTATCATTTTTTAGAAAAGCATTAAAAAATAATAAGAGTGACTGCAATATCGCCATCAAGACATAGTTTTGATAGATAAGAAGGTTCCTGACCTGACAAGAAAGAGGGCCCATTATTGCTTCTGGGAAGGACAATTGATGCAGTTTGAAGAGGTAACAAATCAAACAGTGAGCAAGACAAGCAGAAGACAATGCAAATAGCAGCATCAGAACAAATCAAGCCAATAAATGATGAACATGAAGCAATTGCAACTGCAACATGGCAGAACAAATGATAGCAGTGAACAAGAGGCAAGAGGAGGGGACAATTACAATACAACTTATTGTTGCTTCCATTGATTTCATGGGGAAGGGGCAGCCCTGGAAAGAAATTATTATGAAGAGGAGCAGCTTAGAAATATTTTGAAAATGAACAAAATCAACTTGAAATTTGAGGCTGTAAGATTGCCAAGATATGCTGTAAATGAAGACTGAAACCTGATGAAAACCTAAATAGGACCGTAGATATATTGGTACTCTGGTTGGCTACCTGTAGCTCAGAAGCAATCTAGCTGCACAGAGTCTGCTTTATCAACCCAGTATTTCATACTTAATCTAACGTGTGTGGGTGACAGCAAAAACAGGTGAATTCCCCTGCAGTGAAAACTGCTAAAAATCCCATGATGGCCAAGGTTTGTGATGGGATAGCATAAAAATGTCTTTCGACACATGTCTAAGTTGATAGCAGCATGGAGAATCACAGGGAAATATTCTATGAGAAGGATATTAGCCTTTATACACATGTATGTGTGGAAATGTTAACACCAGAAAAAGAAGTCTATGCAAAGATAGAAAATTCCAAATTATAGTTCATTTGCTATGAAATTTGTTCCAAAATAATGTGTCATTAAAATAGAAGGGTTCACTATTTTTCTTTTTCATTTTTTTTTTTGTCTCTGAATTGTATTTCAAGAGTTTCCTGTGGGGAGTGTGATCTTTTTGTAGACAGGGACTACACTTTTTAAAAAGCACTTCTGCACTTTCAAGGGTCACAGTTAGATATGACAGTAACATTTTCAGATGGTGGAGCTGAAATATTTGTTGCTTTGTGAGTAGGACAGTGATGTTATAGGCATTTCAACCAAGCAGAAGCCTAATACCCATATTTTATTTGAATGGAAAAAAATTAATAATTGTGCTACTGAAAATCCACAATTTTCCAATAGATTTGGTTCAATCATCCAGGAGAGCTCCAAACTGACAAAAATAGGACTTGGGTAACAACACACCAGTTTCTCCCTAAAGATGGAATTGGAGTTGATAATATAAAGTGGGGATATTAGCCTAGAACAGCATCTTTCTAGGTATGTTGGATTACCAAAATGGAAAATCTGGGACTTGAAGGGAATTATCTGAAAGGCATTAAGTCAAGGAAAGTCTGTTTGGGTAGCATTGCATGGAAAAGGCATACATCTCAAAATTGACAGTCAATATTACCTAACTGCTTAAAAGGTAAAGTCCCTTTTGAAAATCTAATTGTGATTTCACCCACCTACACCATAGCTGACAGTGCCTGTTATTGAATATTACAGAAAAAAAAATCGTGTTTGAGAAGCAATCCATAAAAAATACATACTAAAATAACAAAAGAGGTAAAGGATGCAATTATTTCAGGAACTATCCACAAAGAAAAAATAGCACATTTCTGCTGTTTCTTATATCTATACTTTATTGAAATAAAATTTTTAAAAAATTCTAATACCTATCATTTTCTATGTATTCTTTTACTGAGCAAAACATATTGGGCTCAGAACATACTATATACAGCATCCAGATGACTTTCAGACTACATAGCTTTCTCTGAAGCTCTACAAGGAGAGCTATGCTAATGAATTAACTAACACCTTATGTATAAAAACTAATACTGGAGTTAGATTTACAACAAACCTAATCATTTTATCTATTCATATATCTGTTCACAGTTCTCTATTGATGAAAGGATAATAAAGATCTGACTAAAATTATAACCAATCTATCTTGCAGATTTGGGTAGAATGACAATTCCCTTTGCCAGTTTTAACTATGCCATTCTGAAGCTGAAAGTGGAAAAATCCATCCCTCAAAAAGGACTTCTATACTGCATTACATAACAGATATTATGGCCGAATTTTGCACGAGCTTTTCTCCCACTCCAGATATTTTAAATCTTCTCATTGGCCTTACTTTGGTGCTAGTCTTGGTAACAAATATCACTGGAAAAAAAAACTGCTCTAGGGTGAGGATCCACGATTGGATCCATGACCAGAGTTTTCCACTTGTTTGTGATTCACTCCAAAATAACCTTTCCCCCCCCCCCCCCCCCCCCCCCCCCCCCAAGAAACAAACTGTGCATAATGATTGCGTGTTCAAAAGTAAACCTCTTTTAACTTCAGCGGGACCTGTTTACAAGGAGCTGCGTCTGGGATTATGCCTAAACACCGCAGCTCCCTGCAACGGTGCCCCCGAGAATCATCCCTGGCAGTCAGCTCCACCGCATGCAACAAGTCCAGCTGTTTCCAACCTCCCTCACAGGTTGATGCCACAGGCAACTGTAGCAAAACACAAACGGCACACGTAACACGTCCTCCTTTAGGGCGGACGAGCCCCCGTTCCCTTTTTTCCAAAGGAGAAGGCGACAAAGCGCGGAGGGAAAGGGCGCCTAAAGGGTGCAGCGGTGCACCTCCACTGCAGCCGCCGCCACGGCACATGGTCATTGATGTCTCTTACCCTTTTCCGCGGCATTGGGGAGAAATAAAGAGAACCATTTCCTCCGCCCTCCCATAGATGTCGAGGGTAACTCCGCTCAGCCATCACCCGTTTCTCGCCCAATGGATCCAGCCCTGCTGCGGTAGGTGATTACCCTTCGGGGGGGATTTGTTGACGGTATAAATAATTGCGGGCGGGCTCCTCCTGTCAGGAATTCGGAGGAAGAAAGCGTGAATGACCACGTGCGAGGGGGAGGAGGAATTGGCGGCGCAACCAAAAGGAGGGAAGAGGGACGGGCTCGGCGAGGGTCTGTGTCGTTCTCGGAGCGGCTGCCCCCTCCGAGCTTTTCCTGCCTGCCCCGGCAAAGAGCGAGAGGCGGGACGTGGAGTTGGCACCGGCTGGTTGGCAGGCGGGAGCCTGAATCGCAAGGAACGCTTCCCGGCGTGTGTGATTGCACCCCCAAAAGTGGATGGGCACAGGTTGGCCCTCGCCCTCCCATTCCCTTCTCCTCTCACGTCGGAGTCGCGCCCTGAGAACTGCTCTTCCCTCTTCCCTCTCCAGGCTGATTCCGTGCCACACGGGCATCCAGGGTACCGCCGTGCCCCGAGGTCGGCTTTAGGCGAAGTCTCGCCGCGCAACCTTTTTCCATCCTATTGCCTCCTCCTCCTCCTCCTCCTCCTCCTGGTGTAACGGATTAAGTATGCTTCCCGATTTCTTGCCAGGACACCTGGCAGGGAACGAGGCCAGGCAAAGCTGGCCGCGTTAACTCTTCACTTGCTGTCAACACGAGTATCTGAAGAAATACAGGTGAGTGTGGGGGCACCCCTAGCACCTTAACAGAATGGAAGTGGCTAGGTTGGGATTTGGGAAGAATGCTTTCTAACTCCATGCTCCTAGGGAAGGAAATCTTACCTGGGTGAGGTTTACTCCCCCAACAACCTAACCAGGAACACAGCACCTTGATGCAGGGGAGGGGGCAATGCCTGATTTGTGTGTGTGTGTGTGTGTGTGTGTGTGTTGGGAATGCCTGAGAGAAGAATGCTGTGCTAGAGGCTTCCTTATGGTCAAACAGTGGGCATTAAGAGTAAGGAGATGATTTTAACTATCTTCTATGTTTTGATTAGATGGAGATCTAAATAAAGCCTCAATACTTTCATTGCATTCTAATATTTATTTTTAGTTTAGCTGCTCTCTCTCTCGAATCTATTTTGGCAAATATTTCAAGCAGTAATTCCTGTCCCCTAGAGGAACCATGTCACTTAACCCTGGGAAGGACTGTCTTCCTGAATCATGTTGGAATGAACACTCAAAAACATGGGAGGACCTCCAACATTGCTTTCTGTTCTTTCAATAGCTGTCCAAACCTGCCGTGTTGCTCCTCCCACTGTCTCTGTATATATACCTTGTATATTTAGTGTCAAGCAGTGAAGCAGATGGGGGTACAAGGCTGCTGGGATGAATACCAAATCCACCATCTCTTCCCTCAAACTTAGAAAAGAAGTTGGATCTCGCCATTGCCTTTTATTTTGCCTACTTCTCTGCCTGACATATTTGTTGTTCTGCTTTTAGGGTATCATGGACTGCAGATAAAAATAATTTGGTATTTCTATTACTTTGTATGCTCCAAGGAACAGATGCCTTCAGCAGGCACAGTATATGTCATTTCCAACTATCCCATGGGTGTTTTGTTTCTGTGTAATAGGAATAGCCAGAAAGACAGGGAACTGCCAGCTCAGAGTCTCCAGCTTAGATCTCTTTGGCCTTTGATATTGGGAGATTGGCTACTATAATGGCAAGAGTGGCAGGCAGTTTTACATAGACCAGTTTAATTATGACATTAGAGCAAGAAATATAAGAATGGTACTATGGGAAGACGTTTGATGCTTTTATCTTCCCAGTGCTTTTTTACCTTTCAGTTTTATTCATTATCTCTGAAGAAGTCTTCCCTTCCTTACTTTCAAATTTCCATGATTGTGCTCTTAATAAGACCAGCTCTAGCAAACAGAAGCAATGGTAGAGAATTGGTGGATGGTTTATCATTGGCATTGAAAATAATATTCGCTAGGGATTAAAAATAATGTTATGCAACTTTCATATATATATATGGACTTAAAACTCAGCCTGGCCATTATTGAGAATTCTGAGATTTGAAGAGCATACATTTGTAAGTTGCCCCTTTGGAAAAATTTAGACCATCACCCTAACCCTAACCCTAACCATGATATTAAATAAAACACAATTGACTGAGTCTGAGATTAAACCATAAAACCTGGTTTACAAATTATAATGATTTGGTCCACCCAATATGCTAAATTAAACAAGCCACATCATGCTTTAGCAGAAAATGTGTATTTAGTTGTATTGAGCTAATGATCTCCATTTAGCTATTAACCAAGCCCAATTCTGCTTACCTTTTCAAGATCATCCCCAAACAGCTAATAAAATTTGCTATAAGGAGAAATCGTTTTAAGTAAGATTGCCATTCCAGGAACACTTTATAGAGACAATGTATAATTTCAGCAGGATATTTCTAAATACCCATAGAGTCATGCTTCATAAAAATGAATTTATAAAGTCCCTACTTCAAGTATTGCATCAGTCATAAACTCCCTAGTTGGCATCAGACAAACCATAGATTCAGTTTCTCCACTGCCATCCTACTGTAGTCTACAACAATATGGGATATAGTTTCTAGCCTAACATACAAGATTAACATAAAGATTATTTACACATTGAGTATTTTGTTCATGTGAAAAATAGAAATCTAAGGTATTCTAATCAGATTATTTTACCAATGATGGTAAGAACGGATGGTTCCCAATCTCAGCAACACTGCGTGGGGTGGGAAGGGGGAGGAAGAGTGTCCTTTCTCTTTCCCTACCTTCTCGGTATTGGGGTTTCAATATATCTGAGAGGCACTAGTTTTGGAGAAAATGCTGTATTGCTCACAGGGTAAATTCTGTCCTTTAACACTGCCAGAGTATTTTCTTTTTCTTTATAAAATATTAGTCACCTGCTAATATCTGCACAATTCCTTTTGTATAAAAATTATACTTTAGGAATATTTCTGGATGCTGTGGAAACAAAACTTTGAGGAAACATTTGAAAAAAGCTAGGAATGATCTGATAGAGAGGAAGACTATCTGGAAATTTTCCCCTCAAATTTATACTTGTCTTGTTTTTATTCAATTTTATATGCCACCAATCTCATTATCCAAGAATGCAGCCCAAATACCTGTTTTAGCTCTCTTCGATTTGTACATTCTGCCAGATTATACATCTGATTCCTCTGTCTCTTGAGAAGCAATTTTATGTAATTATATCAAAATATGACTGGACATGCACACAAGGATACTTTTCTGTGGAGAATTGGATTGTGAAGCAAAACATGAGGTTGTTGGAAAAGCCCAGGGGAGTTCTTTATGGCACAGCTGCTGAGAGAGCCAACAGGGAAGATGTCAGCATTTTCTTTTAATGGGATGGAATGCAGGAGAGGAATGCTAATTGGGCAGACCTTCAGAATATGTAGTGACAACTACTCCCCCCACAGGTGTAATTAATAATTATGGTCTGGCTCATAAGCTCATGCTCTAGGCTTAGCCTACTGCTGAAAGAGTTGTTTCTGTACTCTTGCAGGAAAAAAAAGGTTCTGAGGTTACTTTAGAAATATAAAGTCTAGGAAGGAGAGAAAATTTAACACCATTTTTCTAGGCAGTCACTTGTAATGGTATGATAATCTTAGCAATATTTTTGCTTCATTTCCTATGAAGTTGTGGGACATAGTTTAGATTTCCTTTGTAAATGTTCTGCTTGGGGAATATTACTGAAACAGCTTATAAACTTGATGACCTGCTTCTTTTCCTTTAAGCATTCTTGGATAAATCTTTATATCCAAAGCAGTTCAGAGTATTCTGATATTAATCTGATCTGATCAGCTGGTTGCCATACAGTGATTAAATGTTGTGTATAGGTTACTATCTCTCTGTTGTTTTTATGCTAGATCTCTTCTGTATGGCATACTAAGCCTTATTTATTGTAGTTGATTTTAATATGGTATCTAAATCATAAATCAAATTATGGTAACGTGAATTATTCTTTAATTACAGCTGGTACTTTTGACGTTTTGAATGTGGGTTTATTTTAGCTATGATCTGATAGTCCAGGGTCAGATTAATGATTAGCTTGGGGTTAAATAACTACTGGTTTGGAAAATATGGTAAGAAATAGGATTGACCACCAGTGAATTTACTTCTGCAACATCATTTCTGCTGTTTTTGGTTCCTTTGTTTTTCACATGTACATGTGGATCACATGTTTACTTCTCTTTACTTCTCCTGTACAGAACTTTGATTTGGGAAAAATATGTATAAGTGACTAGGCCATCTTTTACTTTGCATATAGTCATTTAAGGCTCAGAAGTACCAACTGTTGCAAAAATTGAAATATTTGGCCTCTGTACAGGAGGAGGAATGAGCTACTATTTCTGTGGTTGGATCTATTTGCAGTTTAGAGAAACCATGGTTTTTTATTTCTTCAACCATGGTTTACTCAGTCACAAATAATATGTCATTAATGTGTTCTAAAGTAGCTACTTGAAGTTTGCTAAGTTTCATCAGTTGTTTGAAAAATGAAATAAAATAGAACGTTAAGCTATAGACATATAATACCTAGGATGTCTCATAATAGGGATAAAAGTGGGAGAATAACCCTTGAAGACTGTTCTGTATTGTTGCTGCCACTGCCAGAATATTATTTATAGCCATGTATTCTCAAACACTGAATAACTCTTTCTTTAGAGGCCTCTGTTGTAACTGTCTGTTTCTGTCAAAGAGCCCTTGACAAGCTGGTCTTACACGTACACACAACACTCAACTATATTGTTGTGCTTCGATTAATCTCTTCATTTTATGTTAGAAAATTAGAACAGAGTGATCAGATTTGGACTCAAAGATCTGGGTAACCAATACTATAGATGGCAGTAAAGAAATACAGAAAACCAGTCTTTATGCCAGTTAGCAGTCATCTAATTTTGTATCATTATAATAGTGTTTCTAATTGTTCATAGGAAGTGATTTATATTTAGTAATTTAAGCTCTATTAAATGGCTACAAATACATTTTGCTAATATTTTATTTATTGCATCAACTTGTGTAACTTCTCATTTCACAGTTGTGACTCTAGTTGACACATATAGGATAAATTAGACCACGTCCATTAGTAAGAAAAATAATGATAGTCAAGGAAAAACTTAATTCTAAGAATAAGAAAAGCAAACTCATTCTGATGTGCTCACTTAATATTCCAACCTCCTGCTCAAGACTTCTGAAATCCCGGAAGTGCAGAGTTCTATGAACCTCAGCAAGTAT